ATTACATAAATATACCAATTATGTCTGAACTAAATACGAACACAGCATGTTCTTGAAAAAGACGACTGAAGGCAATAGGGGACGTTCCGCTCATGAGAAAATACTCATCTTTTTTGTGGTCGGCAGGGCATGAAACATCACCATTTCGTGATGTACGAGGGATGTCTTTTAAGTTTTGCATATGGAAATAAAACAACACGGTAGGTAGTTTTAAATGTCTTTATTGTTTTTCGAACTATTCTTCGCGAAGATTAATATACATCTGCATGCGCTCGAACTAATTTTCGAAGCACTTATTGCACTAGTTTGTTCGCAGATCCAAAATGGCATTTTTGAATGCGTCAACTGGTGACTGGAACCTTTGACTACGCAGTCTGTTTTTAATTTTCGAGAAAGTAAAGAAATCGTTAGGACTTAGATCGGGACTATATGGAGGATGGTCCAATAATTCCACGTTTCCTTCCGTTAAATACAGCCTTGTTTTTTGGGCTGTGTGCGAGCTTGCATTGTCTTGGTGGAGGATGATTCTTCTTTCGGGGTTGATTTTTCGAAGCTCGGTGATGACTTTTGGCAAACAAATGGTGGTATGCCAATCCGCAGTAACAGTTCATTGCTCGTTAAGAAAAATTGTTGTAATATGATCCGCTTTTGACACAAATGTCGCGACCATCTTTTTCGAAACACTTCGAGAACGGATGACTTTTGTTGGATTTTCCTCACCTTGGATCAGCCAAACAGCCGACTGTCGTTTATTTTCTGGTTCATAACAGTAAATCCACGATTCATCACCAGTAACAATGATGTACACATTTTTTGAGTTTCCGGAATTGAAACGATCAAGCGTTTTTTGACACCAATTAACCCTGGCTGCTTTCTGCTCTTCAGTCAACAGGTGGGGTATCCAACGAGAAACTAATTTTCTTACTCCTAATTCTTCATGTAAAATTTTTTGAATTGAGGTCTTTGAGATCTTCAAGGACGCCTCAATCTCGCGATATGTCACATGTCTATCTTCAAAGATGAGTTTGCGCACAGCATCGACGTTTTCCTGGGTGACAGCCGTTTTTGGTGCTCCCACCCTGGGATCGTCGCTAAGACTCACCCACTCTCCACGTTTGAATTCTCCATACCAACGGGAAATTGTCGACTGATGTGGCGCTTCGTTGCCGAAAACAGACAGTAACTCAGCAAGGCATTCTTGTTGCGATAGTTGTCTCTGAAAGTTGTAATAAATTATCGCGCGAAAATGTCCTCGGTTGAGTTCCATTTTTCTAATGACTTGCTGACATTAAAAAATTCACTGTAGCGAGAACACTGCACGTATTGTTGTGAAACTTTGAATTTAAGTTTACTAAAGAGTGAGGTTAAAAGATTCAGTACTGATGTTCGATCCGCGTGGCCTACTATGTTTCTATATGCAAAACTTAAAAGACATCCCTCGTAGCAGATATATTTGATATAAAGATTAGTTGTTTATTCTACATTATAAGACGTTTGATCGAGTTTTTAAGCGCTATATATCTAGAACTGTAATTCAATGGCCTAACACAATGAGGAAGGAAACAGATTTTCATCTTAATGTCAGATGTGATGATGTTACTACGAACTCCTACGTACTACTTGTCATTTGTTTGTCTGGTCTGCTCAGAAACCAAACAATGTCAAGGAAAAAAAAAGGAAAAGAGAAGAAGAGCAAAGAAAAACAGAAGTGTTAGTTCAAGATGAGACGCCTAGGTTTTTTGACTTGGTACACGGATTAATTTTGGAGGTGAACTAACCAAATTCTGATTCAGTTTTGTTAGAGTGTAATTTTAAGTTTTTAAGTTTTCTAAAAGTTCGCGCTAATTTGTGATTACAGTGCGAGCCGTGGCCTTGAATGTTACGAACTTGCTCCACTGTGTAGTCCACTGAGTCGCGCAATACAGGGTTGCTGTGCGATTCCGCTTGACTATAACGTCGCTGCGCCTGAAGCTTGACATAATCTCTCAAGTAAGGAATGTCAAGGTCTCTGTGTAGTGTCTCGTTTGAGACATACCATGGAGAGTGGCAGATTGTAGTAGAACTTTGCAGTACTTGAAGACTTTGCATGTGTGTCTTGGCAAGAAAACACCAAGCCGCACATGCATACGTAATGGCTGGTTTAATAATCATTTTATATAGGCGAACATTGTCTATCAAACTCAATTTGGAGAATCTACGTAACAAAGGATATAGTTGCCGAAACGCAATTTGGAATTTTGATTTCAAGGCTGCTGTATCCTTTTGTCAGGTCATGCCTTTATCAAGGGTGACACCGAGATACTTGGCAGAATTTGTCCATGGTACACGATTGACGTCTACAGAAACCTCCGCTGGGGGGGCCGCGATGTTTTTTGGTACATTAAATAGCCTGCGGTTTCGAATGATTAATTTTAATCAGCCATCGTTCCGCCCACTCTAGTACTGCGTCCACCGCACTCTGCAACCCATCGTGAACCAGGTCACCAGTACACGACTAGGCGACAAGTGCAGTGTCGTCAGCATAGAGGTAGACTTCACAGTTGCTGGGGCAAGGGACATCATGGATAAAAAGCGAATAAATTAGTGCTCCTACATCCGAGCACTGGGGAACATCGTCCCAAACTAGCCGTGGTGTTGATACCAACTCCTACGTATTTTGGCAAGGAAATGTTTTCTAGCAGAATGAAATTTGAAAGGGGTTCAAAATAGACTTTTGACAACGCATGAAGGACTTCACAATCGGGTGTCAAACCATTCGAAATGTGATGCTTATCCTTGTTACTAATTTAACCTCTGGCTCTTGAGTTACATGAGAAGGCAAGGCTACAGTCATGTAAAGAGCTTAGACAAAATTACTGTTTCAATGTTTGTTAAGGCAATATTTACAAGGATGCTTCCCCCAAAGTACGCCAGTAAGGCCTGTGAGTCTGCTGTCTGTGATCGGACAGACGATTGTAGTATGTTTAGTTGTTCAATGGCACAGAAACCACATTTACTATACTACCCGAATCGTGAGCCTCCAGCGGTCACAGTGGTGACTGGGTCTGCCAAATGCGCGCTGCTGACTAGTGATGTGTTTTCCATGAACAATCCAATATGTCGCGTTCACTTAAACAAAAAAGTTACAGGAAATAGTTTAAGAACGAACTATTATACACATGAATATCACATAGCTCGTTATCATGTCAGTGAAAACGTTGCCTTTTATCGGATCGCTGAGGCTAAGCAGCGCTGGGCGCGGTTAGTATTTGGATTTATAACAGCTTCGGAAGTTCAGAATATCTTTGATATTTAATGCATGCCTTTGCTTATGGTTCCCAGATGTCTCCTTTTCTTAATATCGCTGACGAAAGCCAAAAGGAAAATGAACCGAAGAAGAAGAAAAGAGACTCAAATCCTTGAGACGACTTTGACCTTGAGGTAAAACGACCTTTTCGAGTTCAAAATCCGGTCACAGGACAAATATTTTAACAATCCGCAGAGGACCCTAAGAGAGGTGGCAGAAAAAGAAAAATGTATCCCAGATTATTTGAGGTTGCTTGTGTCTTATACCGGTTTTATGGCTCTTTTCGAGAGTTGGGCATGTTTTACCGGAAATATTAAATCGACTAGAAGCCGACAAAGATAAAAAATAATGTTTTTAAATTCAAGCTTGTAGTTATCTTACAGTTTCATTTAAATATTATTTTAATCTCTTACCACTAGCCTCAATGTATCGCCCATTGTTACGAAATTTAGCTAATTTTTGCATCTTCCAGCTTTTGCAACTAACAGTATTTGTCGTTATCTTTTTCAACAGCCTGTTTTTGACCTGTTTATAATTTTCAACTGTGAAGAATATATTTCATGTTTTACCAGACGTCTCAGATTACTGCTGAAGTAACAGTTCTAACCGATCAAGCACCATGACGACTCATGGAATTCAATATTAGTAATTAGTAGTATGAATTATTCGTATTTCTGTAGTAGCTGATATTACTATTTAATTAACCAGGATCATATCCAGGCAACAAGTTATACAACCTCTTGCTTGTCGGGTTGCCTACAATGCTATCTTTGATTGTTGTTGTTTTATCAAAAGGAGGCCACTGTAAAGTGTTGATTAGAGAATGGTGGGGTATTCAGAGGGCTCAATGATACGGTGGAATTTGACATTTAAGCTAGAAAAACCCATCAATCTCAGTTAAAGCGTTTCCAAATATTTGCAGCTTAGAAACGTGTAACTTGTTGCGTTTACATCATAGATTTTTAGATTTATCTGTGTAATTGAATAAACTCTGCAATATAAATTGCAATCTCGTGGCTTTAATATTATGTAGAGCTTCTTTCGAAAATTTCGATCTTCTTCCGATCCATTCATGACATGTTGTAAAAGAGAGCTTATAATAGTGACTGACGATCGATGAGTTTACTTGTTCGCTTATGCGGTGACTTTTCAAAAGTCTCCTTCTAGATAATGTAACATTTGGTTGAATATGCAAACATTCCAGGCCGCGGCTCTCCCTGTGGCCAAAATTAAATTAAAGACCCAAAATTCAGTTCAGGACAAGTCTAAAAAAATATATAGTACACTGTAACAATTCTTAGATCTATCACACCTCAAATATTCACATAAAACAATTCATTTTCTTTCCCTTCTCGCTCCTACTTCCTTCCTTTCTTTCTCCCTCTCCTCTTTTCCCTAGAACTTGTCTGTTTTTTGAGCCACCAGACCTGACAGACTGACGACAGCTACTGACGTTACAGTGACTGTGACCTAAAGGCTAGCTAGCTTGAGAAGCAACGACGGGTAGTAGTATTTGGTTGATATTTCGTATTTTAATGCTCAGCTAGCGTACTAACTTCAAAGTCTTTTAACTTATGAGGTAAAGGGTGGATGTTTTTTATATCAGAGATCTTTCTCAAAGTATTCTTTGTTCCGCTTTATAGAACCTGAGTACTAGACTATGAACACTTGCATTTACGATAACTAGCAACCGCATAGACCACCTGACAGTCCGATAATGTTCAGCTTGGCTCAGACAATGGGAACCTTGAGCTTGACCCACTTGCTAAGAGTAGAGTTTATTTACAACAGCCGCAACTGCGAGCATCTTGTGCGCGATGAAAGTTATGGTTATTTATGTAGGTATCTTCACTATCATTCATTTTGATGCGCCTCACTTTATTTGCTGCTTTAGGTAGAATGCCTTTAATTGAGCTTTTCTCATTTTAACGATGCTGCTGTAATTAACGCTGATGGTTAGTAGGAGATAAAAATGATACATTGAGGTGCACTTCAATGACGGGGAAGCTATTTGTGTTGCGTGAAAATGTCAACTAACAGTAAGCAATTTTAACCAATTTACTAATCATAACCGGTCGTGTTTGGTTTTAACTTGTGCCTTTTGTGTTCGTTTTGTGTCGTCTGTAAATTATAATTTTCCGTAGAAGCTATCAATGGAAAAAAAAAAAAACAATATCAGATGACAATAGGGGCATGAGGTTTTTGTGGGGCAGAATTTAAATAATAATAATAATATGTATACTAAGTGACATATAAATCCGAACACCCAGTTTAAATGGTTTTATTTTAATAAAAGTTGGTGAATGTATTTATCTTACTGTAAATAACAAGTGAAAAAATTTTCAGCCTTATCAGTTGGACATTCCGTTTTTTATACTGCTTCTTTTTAATTCACTAACGCTCTAAAAATAATGAATATTTCAGCCGCAGTAAAGAATCAACGTTGGCGGATTTTGGTTCTTGACATCCTTTACGATCGGTTACGATGCCTAGAGTACGGAGACCTGTACGATTTCGTCAACTTAGTGAGTTTGACAGGGGCCGTATAGTGGGACTTCGGGAAGCTGGACTTTATTTTCGGGCAATTGCAGTTAGAGTGCAAAGAAGTGTAGACACTGTGGTTAGGAGTTGTCAGGCATGGCTTCGAGAAGGCCGTACGCAAAGAGCAAGGGGCACTGGACGCCGCCGTAGAACAACAGACCGTGAAGATCGCCGCCTAAGATTATTGGCCTTAAGGGACCGTTTCTCCACTACCAGGTCCATTGCAAATGAATGGTTTGCAGAACACGGAAGACCTATTGGCATGCGAAGTGTTTACCGACGAATGAGAAGTTCTGGCTTGATTTCATACCGGCCACACTGGGTCCTCCCTTTAACTCGAGAACACCAACGTAATCGCCTTGAGTGGTGCAGACAACGGTCACTCTGGGACCAGGAATGGAACAGTATTGTCTTTAGTGACGAGTCTCGATTTTGTTTATGCATGCACGATGGTCGTGCCAGGGTTAGAAGGCGACGTAGTGAAAGGAGGAATCCACAGTTTTGTGTTGAAAGACATGTTCATCACACTGTTGGAGTTATGGTTTGGGGTGCTATAGCTTATGGTTCCAGGTCACCTTTAATCTTCATCAGAGGTAACATGAACGCGCAGCGTTATATCCACGAAGTTCTAGAACCCCATCTTTTACCCTATCTTGACACCCTGGCAGATCCAACTTTCCAACAAGATAATGCCCGACCACATGTTGCAAGAGTCACAATAAACTTCTTTCAACATAATGATGTCACAATGTTACCATGGTCACCAAGATCTCCCCGACTTATCCCCAATTGAGCACGTGTGGGATATGATGGGTAGGAGATTGCTCAATTTGCAACGTCCTCCTCACACTCTAGAAGCACTTCGAGAGGAGTTGGTGGTTGCCTGGAATGAGATACCACAGGAGGACACTGACCACCTGATCAGAAGCATGCCTAGGCGCGTTGGAGAATGCGTAGCACATCAGGGTGCATCCACACATTATTAAAGGTCAAAGGGCTTTAAAGCAGTGCAATCATTTACTTATTATGCTTCATCAAGTACTTATACAAAATTTTATTAAAATAAAACCATTTAAACTGGGTGTTTGGATTTATATGTCACTTAGTATATTTACTCCTGAAACACAATGCGAAGTATGAGTTAATAAATATGAAGTAACGGCCCATAGGAGGCAACGTGTATACATGGGTCACCGATGTTCCAACTGTACATATTATTGAAATATGAATAGAGATACAACTAATCAACGAACTGTTTGATCACATTTGCTATTAATTTGTATACGCATGGTTTTGCCAAAGAAAAAATCCATTCTTTTAACTTTTTCTTGAAATTATCCCCAAAGCGTAGATCCTTTGTACCGTCAGGTAAATTTATGTATACTTTTGAAGTAAATAAAGTACGCTGTTATAATATCACAGTAAATTATTTACGTATATGACACGAACAGTTATTTGGAAGACAGGATACAATGTGACACTAACATTACATTAAGTGAAATATGGCAGGTAGATGCGGAGTTCCACAAGGAACCGTACTAGGACCAATCCTACCAATCCTGTTTAATTTGTATATTATTGACCCTTTTAAGTTGAACAACAGTTGGTTTCGCAGACGAAATGCAATTATTTATTCAATCAAAGATTGGGCTTCTTTAAAAAGCAAAATTGTATTAGATTTTCAAAAGCTTACTCATTTTCTAACAGAAAGGATTTTAACAGTTCAACATATTTTATTACATTTTCTTGTGAAAAAAAACTGGTCTGGCTTACCTGAACAAATTCAAGACCAGCAACAGAAAACGAATTTAGATCCAGGACCGGGCTTGGACAAAAACGATATTTGTGGGAGCAAGTGATTGGGTTTCCATATGATTGTTGTCACAAAATTATTTGCAAAGATTGTAGGCAACATAGCATGACAGAAATAAGAGCACTAATCTTACAAAAAGTATTGAAACCCATGTGACTTATGCAAAAAAATGTTACCTATGTAGAAACTGTGCCGGCATAAGTTCTACTGAGATCCGGTATCTTATTTTATCTACCCGTGTTATTCCATATTTGTGCGAGGACTGTGCTCTAGCAATCAAAACAGCCTTGACCTTGAATAAGAGAGTCCAAGCATTAGAGGACTCCCCAAGCGAAGTTAAAGTTGCTAATTCACATAAAATTGAAGAACTTGAAACTCAGATTCGTGAGATATCTAATGAGGTTAAAAGTATGAGAACTGGATTTTTATCATCTTTTGAAGATATCAAAAAAGATCTTGCTCTAATAAAAAGTTCCACGTCTATAACAGCTAACCAAAATCAATCCAGGTTCAGTGCAGCAGTGATTTATGGTAATGTGTTGCAGGAGGTACATGAGAGGCAAAAACGAGGTTGTAATTTAATGCTTTTTAATTTTCCACAAATCAATGAAGAACAAGATTTGGATAAAGTTAAGGATATATTCTCTCGCCTCGTAGGATCCGTAGTTAATATTGTGTCTTCAGCTCGTATTGGAAGACGGAATAACCACTGTATTTTGAGCTAAATTGTGAAACTTGCCTTAATAACTCTAGTGATCTTTACAGAGATTATAAATCCACAAATGTGCAGGAAGTGATAGCATTTCTCTCCAGTTTTAATTGGGACATACTGCTGATGAATAAATCAGTTTATGCTTAATATGTTTTATGATGTAATATACTATATCTAACAATTGATATTTTTGTTCCTTTGAAGAAGTACTCTACAAAGAAATTCCCCATTTGGTTTTCTCCAGAAATTGAACAAATGATAATTGAAAAAAAGAAACTACACAAGAAGTACATCAAATGTCACTTGCTAAATGATTATCATGAGTTTTCTATTCTCAGAGCTAATTGTAAAAATCTAAACAAAAAACAGTGCTATCTGGATTATGTCAGTACAACTGAATCTTCTCTTAGAGAAAACGTGAAAAAATTTAGGAAATTTTTTAATAGCCGTAAGGATTATCATTGCATACCTTCAGAAGTACATTATAATAATGTCAGTAGTTCTTCTTTCTTACAAATTACCAATTTGTTTGCAGATTACTTCTCTAAAACTTACAGTGTAGACAATAGTACTGTTCAGAATAGTAGTCTTTTAGGGTCATCAATTTGTTTAACTATGAAATTCCAATCTCGCCATCTATGAAAAACTGTCCAAATTAGACGCCAATAAAGGACCTGGACCTGATGGTGTACCTCCGTTATCGATTAAACATTGTAGCTTTCTGATTTCTAGACCTCTATTTTATATTTTTAATCTTTGGTTGAAAAGTGGAACTTTTGCGGAATGTTGGAAAACCAACCTTCATTACTCCAATACTGAAAACTAGAGATAAGCCAACAGTTTGGATTTCTTTCAAAAAGCTCCACAGAGTTAAATCTTTGAATATTCACAAACTATGCTCTGGAATCCTTGGAGTAAGGATATTCTGTTCACGTAGTTTATACAGATTTTTCTAAAGCATTCGATAAGGTGTACTATGAGATCTTGATTAATAAGTTACATTGTCTTGGAATTTGCGGGGATCTTTTATCATGGCAGAAGTCTTACCTCACTGACCGAAAAAAAATAGTGCGCATACAAAGCTTTAAATCATATGAGAATAATGTGCCATCTGGAGTACCTAAGGTTCCGATATGGGTCCGCTTTTTTCAATATATACGTGAATGATATTATATACTGTTTTAAGTCTGTTAGTCTTCTAATGTTGGCAGATGATTTGGAATTATTCTTAAAAATCAAATATCATAATGATTGTTTAAATATTCAAAATGATTTGAATTCATTAAGTCTCTGGTGTCGAATGAATAGAATGGAACTCAATGTGGAAAAATGTCATTTAATGGTCTTCAGCCGTAACAGGGACACCATTGATCATACTTATATGTTACCATGAAAGGTTGTCCTCTAAAGAGTGTATCCCAAGTTAGGGATTTGGGGGTAATTCTTGACCCAAAATTATCCTTTATTACCCATATAAATATGATTGTTTCTAAATCTCTTCAACTTTTGGGATTTTTATAAAACGATGTGCTAAGAAGTTTCATAATATTCAGTCATTTAAAACGTTGTTTTGTTCTTTGGTGAGGCCACATTTAGAGTATTGTTCTTGTGTTTGGTCACCCAAAACATTATGGTTGAAGGTTGAAGATATTATCTATTCCGTCATTGAAAGCTCCCTCAATATATCAACCCTTCAGCTAAGACGGAATCACAGGGACCTGTCACTATTTTATAATATTTTACACTCTCTTAGTTTTGCTCCAGAACTTTTGAAAAATATTAATCTCCATGTGCCTTCTCGTCAAACAAGACCGAATCAACCATTCGATGTGAGATCATTTCGTACTAATTACGCTAGTAATTCCTTCCTGTCTAGATCTTCAAGGTTAGCAAATCAGTATTCTAATAAGTTGTATTTCTTCAGAAGTCAGAAATCATTCAAAATTCAATTAGATTCCTGTCTGTAATATTTAATATTTGATTCCCCATATATTTAAATTTCAAATAAATTCTTTTCAATTTAGAAATGATCTGGATTGTAAAGTGTTTGTGATTGTTTTAAGTGTTAAATAGTCAAAGTAGGCTTAGGTTTACATTATATTTCCTATGCTGCACTTTAATTGGGCCGCCGCTCGTTGATAAATAAATAAATAACGCGCAGCAGTCATATTGCCCCGAACAAAGAGTAAGACTGATTTGCTACCATAGGCAATAGCCCCCCAATACCATTACTCCAACAGTCCTGTGTATATGCCTCTCAACATCATGTCATTCTCCACGGCGGCTTCTTATCCTTCTACTCCCATCATGCGTACCTAGACAGAATCGTGATTCGTCGCTGCAGATGACATTATGCCATTCTGCCTCCCAATGTTGCCGTTCTCTGCTCCAGTTCAAACGTTGACGACAGTTGTCCGCAGTCAGAGGAAGCACTAGCCGTGGACGGTATGAAAAAAGTCCAGACTGTACGCGTAGTAACAAGTCTAGCTTTTTCTCCAGACTACTATAATATATATAATGTCGAAGTTGTTAGAGAAGATAGTCGATGATGAGCTTCGTGAACACTTAAAGCAAAATAAAGTTCTGTCTGACATCCAGTCGGGCTTCAGGAAACTACACAATACGTCAACAGCACTCATAAAAATTACTAGTGACATCATCAAGTGCACCGATGATGGCAAGGTTACACTGCTGGTGATGTTGGATTACAGCAAAGCCTTTGATATGGTAAACCACAAATTCCTGTGTACAAAACTGAATTATTATGGTTTTTCCGGCAGTGCTCTAGAATGGCTCACCAACTATTTGACCGATAGACCGCATTGCGTGATAAAATGTCCGGTCAACCAAAAGCAAATTCTGGTGTCCCACAAGGGATTGTTTTAGGCCCTATACTATTTACATTTTACACATCAGATCTAACGGATTATATATCATCTTGTTGGAATATACACTTGTATGTGGATCATCTACAAATATGTAAGGCATGTAAACCAGATGATGCAAATACCCTCATATCGGAGCTTAACACAAATTTAGAAATGATAACAAGGTATTCAAAAAATTATTGTCTGAGACTTAACCCCACAAAAACTAAGGCTGGTTGTGTTGGTTCTAGACTAGTTGTTCCATAATTCAAAAAGGCAGTGACTGCAAATATACTTTTAGATGGTACCACTATTCAAATTGTAGAGGAAACAAAAATTTTGGGAAAACTATTATATAAAGAAGAAGAATATAAGAAGAAGATGAATAAACTCAAATTGTGCAATTATACGTATGAAACGCTTTGGAAATATAAACACATACTGACATGTTATATTAAATTTTTGCTTGTAAACTCGTTAATCCTTTGACATTTAGATTATGGTGCCACAGTCTATTACCACTTTCTTACAGAGGAAATAATACAACAAAATCAGATTTTACAGAATCATTGCATAAGATTTGCTATAATGATATAGCTAGAGAAGAACACATCACTGGCTACTATATGAGAGAAGACATTTTAAAATGTAACTACCGTTCATTGCTTTTTTATGGTGCTGTATTATATAAAGTTTTAAGAAAAAAATCTCCAAATTATCTGTATAATATTTTAGAGAAAAGATCCTCTGTTCGACATGTTTTCTTAAGAAACGATAATAATTGTTATAATATCCCAGGCCATGTAACATATAATTCAAAAAAGCTTTCGCTTGTACAGCACCTTGTTTGTTGAATAAATATTTAGAACTCATCCAAATTACTTCCAGTAGTAGTCTCAGAAAGGAATTAAAGAAGGTGCTTTTCCTGTTACAAGCTTCTGAAGCTGAAGATTAAGAACTTACGATTCAATATTTTATTTTATTTACAATGGTACCTCAATTTTATACATTACATTACCTATGTAAAATTAGAGATAAGATGAATCACATGACTACATAAAATAGTTTTAATTTACTGAATCTCTCTGTAATTGCTGTAGGCGACGGTGAAAAATGGCAATGCCAATCCTCAGCTTTCTGGAGTGTTTTTTTTGTAATGTATATATATTCATTCTGTACAAGTGCACAATAAACATTATTATTATTATTATCTAACGCTGTATTTCGAATGAACTACTATCCTAGCAGTTGGAAGGTTACCCAGATTAAAAGGGTCCTGAAACCAGGTAATAACCCTAATGGAATGTTTATATAGACCCATAAGTGATCGCAAATCTGCTTAAAAAAATAATCATCAATTTCGTTTCCGGGAGAAGGTGAATTGTGATAAAGTTCATGCAGATCTTAAAAACATAAGATTCTGATCAACTTCATTTTTCGATGCATTTCAAGCACTTGATAAAGTTTCGCATAAATGCCTGTACTTCAAATTAAAACTTCTCCCTTATCCTCACTACTTGCTTCTGAAATCGTACCCGACAAACAGGAACTTCTACGTAAATCATTGCACTGAATCCACATTCTCTAAGTTTATCGGTTCATCAGGAGTCCCTTTCTATCTTCGGGTTCAGGACCATGCTATATGCCTTCTGTATACTGCATACCTACCAATTGCAAGTAATGTATGGACAACAACACTTGCAGATGATACGGCTATCTTGGCATCCCATGAGAATTCCGGCATAGAGTCGCAAAATTTCCAGGTAAGATTGCTCCAAATTGAGCGGCGCATAAAGGTTAATGAAGTCCACACATGTGACAATCACCTTATTTAGAAAAACCTATCCACCTGTAACTATAAATAAATTACAAATTCCACAACTAAATCATGCGAAGTATCTCGGATTCCATTTACAGTGGAGGCTTATATGGCAAATACACATTTTCTCAAAAAGGAAACAAATGGGCATCAAACTTAAATAGATGTATTGCATTATTGATATAGGAAATCTAAACTGTCATTCAGCTATAATGCTTTGTTGAAACCAATTTGGACATATTGTATCCATTTATGGGGCACAGCGAGCATCAGCAATATTACCATCCTTCAGAGGTCTCAGAACAAAGTCCAGAGAATGATGATCCATATCTAATGAAGTTATTCAGCGTGTCATACCTTTTTAGTTAGTGTTAACTCATTATATGCGTCTAATAATGAGCTAGGGAATACGCTAAAACGCCATTTGCCATCTGAGGACCACCATAATCTTGAGTGATAACATAATCAATTTAGTGTTA